GGGGGGGCTGTTGGCGGGGAGGGGGGCGCCGTGCGGGAGCCGGCGGCGGGGGCACGCTGCCTGACCCCCCTCTTCGCCTCTAGGCTTTTCCAGGTGTACAGCGCCGGGGCCATCGCCCCCCCAGCCATGCCCGTGGACCTGGCCGTGCGGCTCTGCCTCAGCCACTCGCCCCCCATCCGCAAGCTGCTGAACTCCTACGAGGAGCTGCGGGGCAACCGGGGGTGCAAACCCCTCCGGTCGTGTCTCAACCAGAAGCTAAGCGCAGAACCCGAGCCCGAGCGGCGAGACAGCACCAAGAGCTCCAAGGGCCAGAAGAAGAAGAGGGTCGTGTTTGCTGACATGAAGGGGCTCTCGCTGACGGCCGTCCGCTTCTTCTCAAAGATCGAGGAAGACCTCTGTGACTTGCAGCACGCCCTGTCTGACCTTGCCCGCTTCCGACCTCGGCTGCGGAACTCACGCCCAGAAGCGTGCAGGTATGTGATGGACTTCCCACAGCCCTCTGCGGACTACATGACTTTCCGCAGCCGCCTACACAGCAACCACGTCTGCCTGGAGAACTGCCTGATCCAGGACCGTGCCCTGTCAGGGACGGTGAAGGTCAGAAACATCGAGTACGAGAAGAAAGTGATGGTCCGCATCACCTTCGACGGCTGGAAGAGCTTCCGGGACGTCTCCTGCCAGTACATGCACAGCACGTACGGCTCAGCCGACACAGACACCTTCTCCTTCGAGCTTGCCCTGCCCAAGCTCTCCGTCTCCTGCAGGGCCACAGAATTCTGCATCTCCTTCCAGTGCGGCCAGAAGACCCACTGGGACAACAACCAGGGGAGGAACTACAGGATCTGCCACGTGGGCGTCATCCGCCCTCCCTCCCATGCCGTGAAGGGTGCCAGCGGGGCCTGGGAGCACCTGGGCACCTCGCGGGCTGCCACCCTGGTCCTTTCTCACCTGCAGACCTGGCGGCGCTCAGAGGCCCAGGCTCCTTATTGGTAGGAAGGCGGGGTGGGGGGGGCGTAGGTCCCGTCCAGGTCCCGAGGCAGGGGTCGGCCGCAGAAGGTGCCGCTCGGCGGCGTTGGCTCCTCCCTGCGTCTGGCCCGGCCGCCGGGCTCCGTGGGAGGCTCTTTGCTGCTGGGCTCCCCCCCCCGGGGGGGGG